GTGGATACTGTATTTTGGTATACATGTATTGCAAAATCACCTTCTTATGCCAAGAAATCATTTCGTCTCTTAAAATAGCTCGTAGAATGCTGTCCACACTAAACTTGGGATCAACCAAACATCTAGCGGCAGCTACCATGGATGATGTCAACACACCACCAATACCAACTGGTGATATCAGTTCACTAATGTTTGGTGTCAGTCGAAATGGTACTGGACGATTTGCATCTAGTTCACCTGCAGAAGAGCAGAGCAATAAAGATTACTGTCTGATGAAGCCAGCAGTTTTGACCAATCTGACGTTGATACGGGAATATCAAGCTGTTCTCATGCACAGTTATATCTAGTTGGCGATATAACAACACGGATTTGCATTATAAACTAGACGGTACTACTCATTAGCTAATATTAATAATAATCTATTATCTAACATTATATAACATCAGTGGACTGAGGAGTGTGATGTTGAGCCTTGATCATTCCCATCACGCAACATTATTTTTTCAATCCTCATTTCAGGGACTGGGTTCGAGTCACGGCTCGCCCTATAAATACAAGTCGGTTGCTCATGCTTTATATAAAATTATACTTCAAATAGATTTAAGAAAATTGTATTTCTTACCTTTGTTATCGTCAATCTCAAATTTATAATAGCCGACGTTTAATCTTCCACTTGCACGAATGATTTGCAGCATCTCGGGAGATAGTCTTGACAGATGAAGTGTAAACTCTGCAAATTGCAGCATCGTCAGCTGAGTAGTAAACTAAAAACATACGAAAAGTTCAAAAGAAGTACCGAACAGGTGCAAGATAATTTAATTATTAGAATAGATTATGAAATAATTGAAAACGATTCAGGTACATTCTGACTGGAACACTACAACGTTAGCTTAAAAGGTTTCTTGATATAATGGGCACGCAGAGACATCACTTCCCTCCTCATTTCGCTCATGCAACAACAATTTGCAAAAGTATAACGAGACAGTGCTGCGGTAAGAATTTGTAATATTTTATATACTTGCTCAGTAGCCTCACTTACTTGTTTCCTAAAGGTCCAGTAATCAGCAGCGCCTGGGTATGTACGCTGTGCCCATTCCTTTAGAACAACTTCTGGAACAATAGTACTTTGAATCTGTAGAAGATAAGTGATAAGAAAATGTGCATGAATTTGCAGAGTCTGCAGACATGAGATCGGTTTCCAATATAAAGCAATGCATTTTAATTTGCCCTTTGGCAACAATATCCTTAGAAAGCAAATAATTCGTAGATCTAATCCAATTGTAACTTCAACCATTGTAACTTCAAGTCAAACGTCACACCGCGAAAAGCAATATGGGATATGTATGTCTCTATTTGATCGTGGCATTTTGCACAACGCAATTTCCATACCCACCACACATTTTTGCATTTAGTGCGCCGAGATTTTGTATGTTTAACAGGCTTAATACAGTGAAACTGACCTCTTTAAATATATCCCTGAGAACTTGATGGGTACTTTGTTCTCCTCTAGCTTGAACTGCAGCTAATCTTTCGTAGTACAGTGAAACTGCTGTGTCTTCATCAATACCTTTCTTAACATAATGCTGTGAATAAAAAAATTGTAGTGATGTACTCACACAAAAGTAGGACATTTTATTTATACATTTTGCGATCAGCATTCCAGGAATTACACCAGCAAAGGTAATGAAATCGGTGAGGGAATTATTGCAGGCAGTTTTTCATTGTTATTTTTCATTAAAGGCAATATTTTTGAGACACTAACCGTTTTCATGACATCTTTCAATGTAACTACAGACGGTGAATCCTACAAAAATACAAGCAATACGAAATATAATCAACGCAAGTCTGGTGGCTGGTTACTTTGTAAAAATACTGCAAAATGTCCCTTCATGAAATGGGAAACTTCTGACACGAAGAGCTAAGAAGCTATTGGGGCATGATCTGCCTGAGTCGTACACCACCAGCTCGAGTTGGATTTCAGGATCTATTCTCGTCCCCAGGCTACTAGTTTTGGATCGCTTGGTGGCCCTTATAGACCCCCATGCCTACCACCATTCAAACATTGCCTACCTCACGAGGATGAAGTCTATATAGACATGGTCTTATAAATATTCGTTATTTTCGAGCAAAACTGTTTCGTTGGTTTTTGCTTGCAGATGAGAACTAAGCTAAATGGCGAAGGACGCACGCTCAACCTGATTGAGTCGAAGGCTTTCTAATGGCGCCCACCTTATAACTCATGCCTGCATGATCATGGAGCACAGCTACGGTGAAAGAGTTAGGACCTAATTCCAACCCATCCTGTCAACATTCCCTGTGGGAGGAAACCAGAGTACCCAGAAAAAACCCCACGACTTTCGGTAGAGCGTTGACTGACTCTTCACATAAGTGTCGTGAGTCGCAGCCAAAATCGAACCCACGATAAACCAATTCGGAGTTTTGACTGCGCATCCAAATGGCACGTTCTGCGCTGGGAACATATTGCCGTTGAACTATAACATGTAGCTGAGACTGGAGGGATATGCATATCAAAGTATTCAACTGTTCAATCATCATTTGTGAGACACAATAGAACTGCAAATTTAACTAATTTTTGACTGTCCTCGGTATAACCATTCAAACATATTCAACGGCATAAACATCTAAAAGTTGAATGTTTATGCCGAACATAAATTGAATGGTTATGCCGAAGACAGTCAATGGCATAACCATCCAAGTTGAATGGTTATGCCGTTGACTGTCTTCGGCATGGCATAACCATTCAAACATATTCAACAACAAAAACATTTAAATTGAATGTTTTTGCCGAACATACTCAACGACATAAACATCTAAGTTGAATGGTTATGCTGTTGACTCGGTCTTCAGCATAACCATTCAACTTGGATGGTAATGTCGTTGACTGTCTTCGGCCTAACTATTGGATGGTTATGCCGTTGACTGTCTTCGGCATAACCACTCAGACATATTCAACGGCATAAACATCTAAGTTGAATGTTTATGCCGAAGATATTCAACGGCATAAACATCTAAGCTGAATGGTTATGCTGGATCCATCCCTGATAAAGAAAGGTACACTTAAGGGAAGATATTTTCTAATTTAAAGCGAGTCACCAGTGCGGAAACTAATTGTTCTTTCGGGCAATTTTTTGCATATTCAAATGATGACTAAACAGTTCAATACTTTGATATGTATATTCCAATTCCCGAAGTCAAAGTCCGAATTGGTCTATGTTTAAGATATTAACATCTGGGATATACTATCCGCGCAGAGCAAAAGTACTCGCACATACCTGAATCAATCGCATCTGTGGTGAAACAGCAACCACCCGAGGCACGGTAAACAAGAGATGTCTTTTGCTTGATTCCTATTTTGATAAGAATTGTGTAAGCTTCCAAACATGTGCGCCTTTAATCAGGCAAAACCTCCTACAGATTTCCTGATTAGGAAAACAGAAACAAATCCTAAAGCCTGCAATATATCACGGTGCAGTTTGATGTAAGACAAAATTATGAGATTTACAATAATAGCTAGCTACACATACACAGTAATGGCGGTTATTTTCAATACAGAAAAAATAGAATGATATTAAAAACATATTATCCAGATTTTCGCCTTAACATCATCACAATTACCTTGCGTTTTTCAAAGTATATATTTAATATCCTCAACAACTGAAGAACTCGCTCTTCTCTCCGTGAGTCAGATAAACATGCATCATTCACGACCAAATAAGGATAGATCTGAAGCGAAAATACCATACACAATATAGTTGGGTTTCATCAGTTGGAACACAGGGATGGATTTACTGGGGGCTGTAGGGCACGGGGGGGGGGGGAAGGACTGTAGGGTGGGAGGGATGGCGCACACCACTGGTAGCTTTGGCAAAGGGGGACCAAAGGGGCTTAATTCCAATGGTTTTTATCGATTAATTAATCAACTTTTTCATTTGGAAAAGCAATTACAAAAAAATAGAAATTAGCAAAAGGCAGTTCACAAAAATTAGAATAGAGAGAAAATGAGATAGTAAGATATATGATTGTGAAATTCGCAATCAAGACTACAGAATAGTGCCTTGCTGCCGTAGCTCCCTCTAGCGATTACGCACTTGGTCAACGGTAACACCCTGAACCCCCTTTGATGAACACCCCCTCCCTCCCTCCTCTACCAGATCTGGCTGGACCCATCCCTGGAACAGCATATAGTACAGGCATGGTGGTTAGCTCTAACAGTACAACTGACTGCCACTTCCCGTTGTGCTCATGGAATTCGGATTGCGTTTTGTCATATTGTTTGACAAGCCACTTACCTTGCCGTTATTTGCTCTAATAAACAATCTCCTAGCGGACATATTGTGTTTCTGAACCAGTTCAACGCGAGGCATAAATTGAGCAATACGGATGTAATAATGGCTATGCTGAAAATGGACAATCATGATATAAAATGAGAACTATGTTGGGAGTTAGCCTATAATGGTAATGACTAAAGGGGTGGACGACGAGAGGAAGTTTGCAAGACAATGATGTATAGTTCCAAATTTAAACTCAAGAGTTTACTTTAGTGTTATATGGTTAGGGTTAGGTGCATGCAGGGTAAGGGTAAGGTTGAAAATTGTTACAAATGCCTGGTTGTTGATTCCTTCACGTTTTAACGATCGTGAAAACAAGCTGCCATTTTGAGGGTCCCTAGTCCACACCAACAGTGTTTTCTCTTTCTGATTTATATAAATGACACGCATTCAAAAATACCATCAACCTAGGATCAACCTAGGTTGTCATGTATTTTGCATTGCTGAAATGCAGGAACCTCAACGTTGTTTCAGACACTTAGTAACAGACAATATAGGAATACAAAATTCAAATCAATTCTGAATACGTTATAAACGCACATGTCACTACAACGTTGTAGCAGACATTTTGATGTAAATTTACATGGGATTGCAACACCTTGCATACATACAATGTTTGACTTGGGCATGAGAAATTCTCCAGGAAGTTCAACATCAGCTGTGGATATAGAAAACACGCTGAGAAAACGACATCGTTCTTCAAGGAGAAACGAACTATATAAAAGAAAATAATTGTACGGAATTTTAGAATTTGAGGCTTTTGCTAAAGGAAGGGACAAAAAATACAAGAGTTTTAATGTCAAAATGTTACCTCGATAAAAGTTTCGTTTTAGCTTCCAAAATCTTGATCCACTTCTTCAGTTTTGCAATTAAGTGATGAAGTCCCATAGAATTTGGCGAACTAAAAATAAGGAAGATGTCAAATCTGAATATTTATTCATGCATATATGTTACTCAGTGATAAACGAAGTGTCGTATTTAACGAATTTTTAACTAATTCCTTTGAATAAATTCTAGTGAAGCTATACAGCTCAGGACAGACCAAGGGTTATTATACGCAGCATAGGAGAAAAAAACAATGGGTTCCTAAGCATTTGGAAAATTAAGTTGATTCAATTTTTCTTTATATAAATTACGTTGTATAAATTATTCCCCTTATGTTAATTGGCAGTAAAATGAATTCCTATTTATAGGCCCGTTTATATTACGCTCAATTTCGTAATACTGTATAACGCTCAATTTACGTAGCAATGCAATTTTTGCAGCAACATATTCACAGTAAGATAATTTGTCCCGTAATCTGCCAACCTTTTCCTCAGGCAACATGCCATAAGGCTATGAAAGAATGACTTAAAATGAGCATTATCAGAAAAGTGGGAAACAGTCCATGCTCACTGACTTAGTGCAACAGACCTTTCTCCTTTTGAGTGAAATTTTGATTAGACAAGTCTGAACAAAAATTTCATCACAGCTTGAAAGAGCATCACAATTAGTAATATTCCGAAGTTTCGTTGCGAAATGTTGTAAAATGCGGATAATATAACCTTGCGAAGTTTGCCGTTTTTCAGTCATTTTGCATTACAAATGGGAAATTGGTAATCAGTTTGACCATCTGATTACCAATTTCCCGTTTGTAATGCAAAATGACTGAAAAACGGCAAACTTCGCAAGGATATATTATCCGCATTTTACAACATTTCGCAACGAAACTTCGGAATATTACTAATTTTGTGATGCTCTTTCAAGCTGTGATGAAATTTTTATCCAGGCTTGTTGAGATTAAAATTTCACTCAAAAGGGGAAAGGTCTACTAACGTTAACAAAACATCGTAGCAGGGATGGATCCAGCATGGTCTGGTAGGGGGGGGG